ATCATAGATATATTGTATTTAAAATTTATATCAGTTTAAAAATCAAAATTACTCAAACTTCTTATATTATTTATTTCAAGTAATTGTCTTTAGTCTGAATTTAGATAGTTATTTAAAATCTTCAATTTGGTAATAATAAAATCTGTTGTTATTTTTCTGGAAGTAGTTGAAAGAATAATTAGATCCTATTCTGACATGTACAGAAATATTAAAGACTGATACTAAAAACTAATTTCTAAAGTTACTGAATATTGAGTCTCCTTTACCCAGTAAGTTTATTTTTTGTACAAATCTTTGAAACCAACTACTGTAAAAAGTGAACTATCCTTGACCAAAAATTGCTTCATTTTTATCTGCCAACGGTCTTACTTGTTTTTTTGTTTGTTTGTTTGTTTGTTTGTTTGTTTTTTGTGCAGGGTCTCACTACACAGCCCACATTACTAGTGATCCTCCTGATTTCTGCCTCCCAAGTGCTGGGATTACAGGCGAGCGCCACCACGCCCGGACTCCATCGCTGGCTCAGCGCACTGGGGGGTGGGGCCGGCGTGGCATGTGGAGTCAGGGATCAAACCCTGTCCCCTGCGCTTACCTAAGCAAGTGCTTAGTCTGCTGAGCTATACCGCTGGCCCTAATTATAAGTAATTTACTTATAATTTTTTTTTAAATTTTATTTATTTGTGTGTGTGTGTGTGTGTGTGTGTGTGTGTGTGTGTGGTCAGCTCAGCCCACCAGGGGGCGGGGCTGGCTGGCATGTGGTGCTGGGGGATTGAACCGCGGTCCCTGTGCTTTTAGTTTGTTCTAAGTAGGTGCTTTAGACCACTGAGCCATCTCACCAGCCCTTTACTTATAATTTTAACTTTGAATTATTTTTGAAAATTAGTCCTTTATACAAATATAAGAATATAAGAATAATACTCACTTGATTTTCAATAAAGTTGCCAGATTAATAGCAAAAATTATTTAAAAACAAATTTATGGGTAATAATTGTTAGTCAAGGCATCATAAATATGGTGTAGTTGCCATACAGTTTAAAATGTAGCAAAACTGGGCTGGAGAGATAGCTCGCATCTAAGTGCCTGCCTGGCAAGCTTAAGGACCTGGGTTCAATCCTCAGTACTGCATGTCAGTAGTGGCCACCAAAACTGGGTGTGGTGGTGCGTGCCTGTAATCCCAGTGCTGGGGAGGCTGAGACAGGAGGATCACTATGAGTCTTAGCTGCACAGCGAGACTTTGTACCAAACAAACAAACAAATAAAAGATTTTTTAAAAATAATATGTAGCAAAACTGTATGCTTGATATTTCTGAATTGTGTTAATTTTTGCTGGATTTCAGCTGACCAAGACAGTGTTAGAAATGCATCATTATGGTGCTAATTAATCACAGAAATAATCTAGTAATGGACTACATAGGATGTTGATAATGAAGCCATTTGTTTATTTCTGGAATTAAAAACTTTGAACAACCACTGATGAAATCATTTTTGCTTTACTTTGAAGAACATAGACTCATTTCAGTTATACAACTCCAGTAGATCTTACATACAGCAAGAAATATTCCACTGAAATGTGCTGCAATGTGAGAAAATGTAAATGGCTTTTGTGGTTTCTATCCATGTGAAATAAAATTTAGTTCTGAAAAAAAAAATACAAATGGGCCAAGCCACAAAGCTCAGGAGTAAAGAGTCAAAAGTTTAAACAAATGTTTGCCCTTCCACGAAAACAAGACATGTCTTTCTTGAATTTGACTCTTTACAGTGGTCTCATCTTACTTCCCTGGGGGCTAGGGAAGCAAGTAGGAGGTGATTTGTCCTTGTTTTGGGACAAAGTTCCCTACTCCCTGCGCATCAACCCTGAAGAAGACATGGTCTTTGGGACATTTACAAAGCACGGTTCTGCTTTGTAAGTGATATTGTTGTAGGCAGCTGAATTAGATAAAATATTATAGGCAGTCAGACAAGGCCAGGCCCTCAAGGAGACAATATGGAAGAAAAGGTAACTTTGAAACTTGGAAGAGACAGACACTCCCTATAGGCCAGACATTAAGACAAAAGAGGAAACATAGCTACATACTTCTCTAGGGATGAGCATCAGGGATTGATTTTGTTTCGGGGGGGGGGGAGAGGGGATAGGGCAAGATAGAACCGGGGATTGAACTCAGGCCCTTGCACTTGTCAGGCAAGCACTTATTCTACTGAGCTTATCTCCCCAGCCCAGGGATTGATATTCTAAATAGGCATTTAGAATACCTATTGATTGATATTGATATTCACCTTGAAAGAGCCCAAATGAGCCACTAACCTAATCCCCAACAGAAAGGGACCCTGTTCCAGTATTCATGCCCACTTGCTATGACTCATTTCCTCATGCAGTACTGGATTTATTCAATTTTACCTGAGCAATGGTGTTTGTAATCTCATTGGTTGACCATAGTTTTGTCCCACCTCATGCCCACCTAAGCAAGTTCCCATGTTCTCTACCACCTTAGACCCGCCTCACCACATGGTTTTACACTATAAAAGTCCCTGGAAAGAGCCAACTTCCTGGGGGATCACCCGCTCTCTCAGACAGGAGCTTTCTTTCTCCCCAATAAATATATTTTGCTCATAAGCTCCATTTGTTCCTAAAATTCATTCTTCAGTTTTAGAGAACACGAACTCATCCCAGGTAATTTTCAGGCCGGGAGATAATTTTTCCCCCTGTATCATCTGGAGGTCATCCAACCGGATATCATTTTTACCCTATGTCATTATCAACCACACACAGTACTGCAAATGCCCACCTATAGGGCTCAACTGAAACACACAAGCTTAAAACTGACGGTGGGATGCATTAGAGACTTAAAGTCCTCATTGATAGGTTACAGCATGAGTACAGACTGCTAAATTATCATGGCCTTAATCCAACATGGCTGAATTCCCCAAACAACAGTTTAATCTCCCCATTGGCCATTTCCTCCTCCTTCCCCATGCCAGTCCTTCCCTTTCCCACCCATGCCAGGGAGCCTCCAATCAGCTCCTTGTGCATCCCCCTAAACCTGCCCCTCAAGCTCTGCCCCCAGCAAAAGTCCCTAAAGTCTCAGGCTCCCTGTCTCAGGTCAGAGGATCCGCCCATCTCCCTGCCCTCTGTCCTCTCCGTGTGTTTAGAGTTAATAAAGGCTTCCCCTCCCCATTTCTGCTTCTCTGCTGCACCACTGCCGCCGCCATTGCTGCTGTCTCTAAAACCTATCACCAATCTGCTCTAAAGTGTCTGCTCTGCCACATTTTTGTTGCTTTCTATCTTTTCTTAACTCTGTTATTAAAGTCCTTGTGCATGCTACTTGCTCTCTACAAGCGCTAATTCATTTCTCAAGTACAGAGGGCATGCATTCTATGGGTCAGGACACCCCTGTACCTCTCTCTAGTTCTTCCTTACCCACAGAACCCTAATTTTGTTCAGGCTGGTGAGAACAGGGAAATGTACAAAGTCTGTTGTGAGGCCAGTCAGTAGTGGCACACACCTGTAATCTCAGCACTCAGGTGGCTGAGGCAGGGGGATGGCTGTGGGTTCGAGGCCAGTCTAGGCTATGTTGGGAGGTTCAAGGCCACCCTGAACTATAGGCAAGACCCTGTCTAAAAAAATCCTGCTGTGAGGATTTTTAGGAAATCTTTCACCCTCCTGAGCAAAAGAAACAGGCATAATTGATACTGTTGTTCCCCATTTCTACTTTGGTTTTGTTTTGTGCTATGTTGAATATAGATGTAATGGCTGTAGCTCCCACAGTGGCCTTGTAACCATTAGGGAAAGTCCAAAAGAATTGCATGTCCACTGATCCTAATTGATTCTGATATTGGTGAACTGGTGGACCAGAGCAGTGATTGCCTCCATCCAAACTTTGTGTTATATAAGGATAATAAGCCCCTCTTTTTTTTTTGGTTTAAGCCACTTAGGTAGGTTTTCCACTACTTGAAGTTTGCCAGGCAAAACAGTATGAATGGTAGGAGCACAACCTCCATCTCACTGTGTTACTTTCTTCCTCCCAAATCCTAGACAAGTACCTCTGCTTGGCAAAACCTGCATCTTTATGAAACATAAACTAGAAATGGATGTCCAGGAAATAAGAAAATACTATTGGCTTTCTAAAAATTACCTTCCTTACTACAGGGGATTGGATTAGCGTGCAGTGCATTGACCTGCAATATCGGCATAATATGCATGATGAGTAGTGTACTGTGGCAGTATCTGCAAGCTCACTGTATTCATTAAAGTAACTATACCAATTAAAGGACACATACATGGGCTGGTGAGATAGCTGGGAGGTCTAAGCGCCTGCCTGGCAAGTGCAAGGACCTGGGTTCGATGCCCAGGACCACAGGACATGCTGGCCCTGCACCATGCTGGCCACCAAAACCAGGCATGGTGCTGCATGCCTGTAATCCCAGAGCTGGGGAGGCTGCGGCAGGAGGATCACTATGAGTCTGTGAGCATAGCAAGAACTGTACTAAATAAACAAATAATAAAAAAGACAAATACAGTCAATTAAAAAAGACCAAACAATATGTTGTCTACAAGAAACTGACTTTACATATAAAGACATATAAATTAACAGTACAACGGTGGAAAAAGATAATCCATGCTAGCATGAATCAGAAGAAAATAGGTATACTTACATTAATTTCAGATAGGACACATCTCAGAACAAATTGTTAAGGATAAAAAGGGAATATCACATGAGAACACATGCTCTATGCTCCAAGAAGACAAAACAATCCTTAATGTACATGCATCCAAAACCATCAAACCAAATGAGGCAAAAACTGGTAGAAACAAAAGGAAAAAGAAACTAAACCTCTATTACAGTTGGAGGTTATAAAGAATAGATTCAATTGGCTGAAAATAGTAAGGAAAGAGTTGCACTCAAAACCACTAATCAATCAACTAGATATAATACATATCTATAGATTACTTTATCCAACATCCAAATACACATTTCTCCTAAACTCACAGAAAATATATAATTACGATCCTTCGGTTCTTGAGCGTGATGATTGGGCGCATGCCTTATGCATGAGATGTGCCTCCCTCAGACCTTGTTACGATGTGGGCACATTACCCATCTGATGTGAAAAAGAAAAAAAAAAAGAAAAGAAAGAAAATAAAATAGATAATTAAAAATTTAGACTTCTTTTCTCTCTCATTGCTTCTGCTGTCTTCTGCTACCATGAACTGCTGCCCTTTGCCACCCTGCTTTGGAGCCAGCTGAGTATGAACTGAAACCTATACAAAGTGTGAACTAAATAAACCTTTACTTCCTTTAAAAAAGGGGGAGGGGGAGAAATTTAAAACACAATACCATTTATATTAGCACCCCCAATGAAAAAGTTAGATACAAAGATAACAATGCATATGCAAGATTTGTATAAGAAAAACTATAAAAATCAAAAATATATCAAGAAAAAGCTAAATAAAATGAAGAGCTAGTCAATGTTCATGGATAGGAAGAGGCAAAATGATCAAAATAGGGCCAGGGAGACAGCTCAGTGGAATAAGTGCTTACCTGGCAAGTGCAAAATCCTGAGTTCAATCCTTGGTATCACCAAAAAAAAAAAAAAAAAAGATCAAAATGTCAGTTTGTCCCGACTTGATTATATATTTAATGCAATCACAAAACAAACTCCAGCAAGCTATTTTTTTGGATATAGATATAATGATTCCAAAGTGTATAGAATAAGGACCCAGAATGGCTAATACAATATTGAAGCAGAAGAAAGCCAGAACACTGACATTACTTAACCTCATGACTTATTATTAAGCTACAGTAATCAAGTTAGTGTGGTACTGATAAAAGAACAGACAAATAGGTCAACAGAACATAATAGTCTAGGTATAGATCCACATGGATATAGTGAATCTTTTTTAAAAAGAGACTAAAAAATAGTACAAAAAAATTAGAAACTATACAGAATCTCACTAAGCAAAATGACAGGAATTCAACAATGGTTGTGATACCACACATTGTTATCTGCAAATTAGTCATTCAGACTATCAGACGTAAGCATGACAAATTGGTCAAAATTATAAAATATTAAAAAGGAAAGAAAAAAATTAAGCATCCACTGCTCCTTTCAATAGACCAGCAGAAATCAGCAGTACAATTTTCCAAGCTATCCCTGTTTATATACATATATATTTTTCCCCTTCCTTTTTTCACTATGCTGGATCTTTGATAAAGGAAGAAAGAAAATGCAAGAAGAAAATAATAGTCTTTCAACTGATGGAGCTGAAACAACTAGAATACTGAGACAAGGGGGCATCCACGGGGTAGGTGACCTACAACACAAACCTCACACCCTCCACAAGAATTAATTCAAACTGGGTCATAGACTTCAGGTAAACTCACAGGACAAAACCTATGACTTCTTAGATTCACACTAAGAATATTTCCAGGAAAGAAAGAATTGACAAACTAGAATTCATTTAAATTGTGTGTGTGTGTGTGTGTGTGTGTGTGTGTGTGTGTGTGTGTTCTGTAAAAGAAGCTATTAAGGAATTAGCAGACAATCCACAGATGGAGAGAAAATATTTGTGAAAGGTTTATCTGACAAGGGATTTTGTCAAAAATATACAGGAGGTCTTTAAATTCAATAATTAAAAAGATTAATATGACCGATTTTTAAAATGAGACAGAAATATTGACAGTTACCACATCAAAGATATACAGATGGAAAGTAAGCCCATGAAAAGATACTCCACATCACATATTATCAGGGAAATGAAAATGTTTTACACTGAGAGAACATTATATACATAGCAGAATTACTAAAACTGAGAATATAAACAAATGCTAGTAAGGACATGCGGGCTGGGATGACAGTTTGGCAGTCTAAGTACCTGCCTGGCAAGCGCAATGACCCATGTTCAATCCTCCATACCTCATGCTGTGCTGGCTCCATAACCAGCCATGGTGATGCATATCTGTAATCCCAGCACTGGGGAGGCTGAGACAAGAGGATCACTACAAGCTCAAACTGCTAGTGAAACCCTGTATCAAATAAATTTTTAAAAAAATGGAACAATGAAAATGTTCATTCACTGTTGATGACATGTAAAATGGTAGAGCCACTGGGAAAGACAGTTTGGCAATTTCTTCCTTTTTTTTTTTTTTTTTTCCAGTATCCAGGATTGAACTCAGGACCCTGTGCTTGCCAAGCAGGCATTTATTCTATTGAGCTATCTCCCTGGCCCTGACAATTTCTTACAAAAGCAAACATACTCTTATCAAAAGATCTAACAATTGTATTCCTTTTTTTGTTTGTTTGTTTGTTTTTTACAAAGAATGGAAAACATGTCTTACAAAAGTCTATGCAAGAATGTTTACAGTTGTGTTGTTCATAATTGCCAAAATTTAGAATTAACCAAGGGGTCCTACAGAAGAGGAATAGATAAATAAACTACGATACACACAGTCAATGGAATAATACTTGTGGCTCAATGAGTTATCAAGCCCACAAGGACACAGAGAAACATTAGGTGAATATTACTAAAAGAACAAAAAGCAGGGCCGGCCAGATAAGTCAGCGGATTAAAGCGCCTGCTTAGGCAAGCACAGGGATCGGGGTTTGATCCCAGGCATGCCACGCCGGCACTACCCTAGTGCACACTGAGACAGTGATTGAGACTGGGCGTGGTGGCGTGTCTGTAATAGCAGCACTTGGGAGATTGAAAGAAGAGGATCACTACTAGTTGGATCTGTGTAGTGAGATCCTGTAGACTTTGTACTAAATACATAACAAAAAAAAGAACTAAAAAGCATTCAGAAAAACCTATCTACTGCATAGGTTTGACTATAAAATATCGCCCCCCAAAAAGCAACTTTACAGAGATAGAAAATCAGATACATGTCATGATACATTTGTCAAATCTCATAGAATATATATATTACCAATAGTGAAGATTAAGATGTAACTATGAATGTTCATTGCTAATAATAAGTTAATGTAAGTTATTGATTGAAACACGTACCACTCTGTTGAGGAGGAAAACAGTGGAAGAGGCCAGTGGAAGCAGAGTAGCATGTGGAAAAGTTCTATGTGTTCCACTTAATTTTTCTGTGGACCTAAAACTACTCTCAGAGTAAAACTTTGACCTCAAACAGGGATGCAACTTTCATTTGCGACCTGGAAACCACAAATGGAAACTCACAGTATCACTCCCACTTTATAAAATACAAGAGGGAGGGATACATGGAAGCTGGCTCAGTGGCAACTTTTCACCAATAATTCTACAGAGGGAAAGAAGAAATCTTTGGTCTACAGATAGCTGTCAGCCACCAACTGAACTTGATCTAATCACTGTGGATGGTTTCAGCCATAACTGGGTGCATTCAGCATTCTTAATAGATAAGTGAATGGATGAATGAATCTTTTCATTTCAACTTAATTACTATAAATGGACATTAAAATCCCTTCTATATTAATGTCTGATGGTTGATTGATGGAGTCAACTTGAGTAAGAGAAGCTCAACTACATTGCCTCAGCGATTTTATACCCTAGGGTGTAAAATCCCCCATAGGTAGAAGACCCACCATAGGGCAGCTTGGTGCCTAGATGATATGAAGGGGAATGAAAATGGATAAATCCACTTCTCTTTGTCTGGAGGAGCTCCAGTCACCTTGGATGTCAACTCCTGACTCCCAGCAGATTCTTCAGCTTCCATTGTAGATTCTTTAGCTTGTTGGCTCAGGCCCTCACTCAGCCTTCCAGGGTGGACTCTTCAGGTGTCCATCCTGAAGAACAGTCACACGGGATACTGAGTGAGCTCAAGCCCTTCAAAGGAACCCTTTGGATCTCAAGTGTGCAGACCCTCTGCACCCTTCCACAACCAATTCTGTGTGGCCACTGTAAGCCAATCTTGTGAGTCCTTTTTCTTTCTTTAGTACATGATCTCGCTACACAGCTCAGACTCATGGTGATCCCCCTGTCTCAGCCTCCCAAGTGCTGGAATTATAGGTATGCATCACCATGCCTGGTTTGATGATCAGCACTGTGTACCCAGAGTTCCGGGGCAGGCACGGCATGTGGTACCAGGGATCGAACCCAGGTCCTGGTGCTTGCCAGGCAGGTGCTTAGAACTGCCAATCTATCTCCCCAACCGCAATCTTGTAAATTCTTATATATTCATATATCTTGCATTATGTGTTTCTCTAAGAAACACGGATTGATTATCTATAAAAAAGATTGTTCAAAAGAATTATTTTAATTCTTGACTTTTAAAGCAAGGAAAATGCTTATAGCAACCTTGAAAACCTTTTTAAATCCAGCTTATGCCATTGCTAAATAATGGTACACAAAAGATTCTGGTGGTCAGTCCCTGGATAGCCTTGGCCAACCCATCTTCGCCTCCTCACCACTCTCTACCCACTTCTTCTTGCCTATAGTTCTCAAAATAAATAACTTAGAATGAGCTGGAAATACAATACCCTGAGATGGGAAGGAACTAACTGACAGCCCAGACTTTATTCCTCTTTCCTTCTAGAATCAGATGGCCTTCAGAGCTTTCTCCATACAGTAGTGTCTGAGCAGCACAGCCTGTCTTCCAGGGAGGGGGATCCCTCATCTGCAGTACAAACAGGGCACGTGGAATCAAGGTTCCATTCACTACAGGCAGCTTTTTTTTTTTTTTTTAATGTATTTAGTAGAGGGTCTACAGGGTCTCACTACACAGATCAGACTCGTCGTGATCCTCCTGCTTTCAGCCTCCCAAACGCTGGGATTGCAGGCATGCACCACCATGCCCAGTCTCAATCACTGGCTCAGCATGCCCCAGGGGCAGGGCTAGCACAGCACATGGGGGATCGAACCCAGGGGTCCCTATGTCTGCCTAAGCAGGTGCTTTAATCTGCTGAGCTATCTCACTGGCCCTTATCCAGGCAGCTTTTGTGACCCTTGGGGGACTGACTCACCATGGACCCTAGATCTCTTTTTCCCAGTGTTGCCTATCTGTAAGTAATATATTTCTTTTCTATATTTTACCATATATGAACATGCTCTGCTTCACCAGAGTCAGGCAATTGGAAAAAACGCAGCCCCAAACACAGTGAGGCAAGGTGTTTGGATTCCTATT